CACTTCTACTAATTCATCTTATTCTTCTACTCACATATAAAATAGGTCCATTATATGAGTTTATATAGAATTAAACATATGTAACCAATTACATTTCAATATCCATAACTCCCATTACTCCCACTAACATAACCATTAATAGCATTATTCCCACTAACATAGTATTTAGGAGACTTAATTCGCATACCTCTTAATCTTACATAACCTTCTCAATCAAAACCATTTACTACCCCTACTAACATGAAATGCACACATGCATCATGTATATCAAATACTTGAAAATACTAATTACAACTAAAATTCTAAAATGAAGTTTATTTTCAACACAGTCCGCATAAATTGTCATGACTGAGGGCTGTTTGATGACTTTGATCTCAATAATTATGCTGAATTATAGGAAATTAATATATAAATTCAATAATCAATGCATGTATTGTAGTGTTATCTCCATCATCTCCTTTTTATAACCAAATGCGGAGTGTTGAAAAATGAAATAAAAATTGCTACACTTAGCGTAGCACATCTAAAATAATGTATATCCATGCTTGTTTAAAGCTATGAATAAAAGAGTACTGTACCTTCCTTTTTTTTTTTCCCCGGTGAATACTAGTGCCTTTTTCTTACAAAATAAATTGTCTAAATCAGTTAGTGCAAAACGTGTCAACAGAGGGTCATCCAAAATTGCCCATTTTGGTGAAATATGAGAATAATTTCATAATTTTCACCTATTTAAAGATATTCACATTGAGGGAATATGGTTTGATGTAACGTTATCTAATGTTTGAGGAGACTTTTTCATTTCATAAGCAAAGACTTTTTGTGATACACAAACAGTTTTTTTCATGAAAAATATTTGAGATTTTGTAGAGAATCAATTGAAACTTTTTTAGAGGAAAAATTCTGAAATTTTTCTCTTTTTCTTTCTATAAAAATTGATTTTCGTTCTTCTCTTTCTTGATTTAGTGAATTAGTTTGTAGGAGGCTGTATTTTTCTTCTCATGTGAAAATCGTGTTTTCATTCCCATCTCTTGTTCTTTATTTATTACTGTGTTTTTGCATGTTTGTTGGTTATTAATTAGAGTACCGAGTTAAAGTCGGTTTCAAAAGGAAAAGCCTAGCTATAATATATCTATATACCTAGGTCTTTTTAGTTAAAAGCATTAAAATCACTTTTGCATTGTACAATTTCCATTATTTTGTATAAAATAAAATAATGTGTTCAGACATTTTTATGGCTCTTGAGTTTGTGCTTTGGCATGCCAGAGTCCTCGGCCCGGACTCGAGATGTGTGCCGAATCCTATGCTCTTGAGTTGACCTTAACTTGAGTCAACTCGCTAAAATACGTGGTGTTGATGATCAAACGATTATAAGGAAGCAAGGGAGGTCACTCTTTCTAAGTAGTCATTGCCTTGATAACAAGGACATAATATATTTACGGATGCTCGATTGTGATATTGAGATGCAAAGTGAAACGGATACCAAATTGCGAAAAAAAGGTGTGATTGAATTACTGTGGCTTGAATGGAATGTATTGACATGTGAAAATACATAAGAATTAAAAGGCTAGTTCCATTAACAATACATGAGAAATTACAAATTACAATTACTTAAACTAAGTTAAATGATTATAGAGTACTCAATTACAAACTAATGTTACAAGATTCAAGGATATTGAATTAGAAATTAAAGAAGTTAAGAATAAATAAAAGATAAAGATATGAGAAGTGCCATATCAGGGTGTAATTGTTAACCAGCTATTAGTTGCAATACCTAGGAATTTTGAACAGAGCATCAACCATCTGAATTGGTAGAGGTAGCTGCTTTTGATGAAATACAGTGGAAGGTCTTGCTCTAGCGAATTCCGCTATCCCTCTAATTGTATCCGCGATAGATCACAAAACTAAGTTGGCAGGGGAGTAAGATCCTTAGTTGTTTCAAAATTTGAAACTCTTTTATTTTAATTTATTTTATTTATAGAAATCATTTTATTTTAATTCATTTTATTTTAATTTAATAAATAAATACTAAAATATTGTAATATTGAAACTCTTTACACTTTTAATAGGGCAAACTACAGAAAACCGCCCTCGCTTGTAACATTTTTCTAGTAAACCCCCTCACTTGTAACCCTTGGCTATTGTTTTGCCAAAGAACCCCTCAACTTGTAGGTTTTTTTTCAATAAATCTCCCTTGTCTAATGTTTTACTAAAGAACCCTGTTAACTATCTAAAGGGAGTAAAAGACTTAATATTTGAACCGAATAACCTTTTATTTAAATCTTAATTCTCCAATCTCATTAACCTTACATTTAAAAATTGTAAATAATATATGCACGAAAAACTTATGAAATAAGGATTTCAAAAATATAAAATTTGTACAACAAACCTTCATAACTAGAGAGAAACAGGCAATCTAAAAATCAATACTCTAACAATATTATTTTAGTTTTTAAATACTCGAGATATTTGTAAGAAAATTTTCATAATTAATCATTTACATATGGAGCTAGCCAAATATATAAAAAAAATTTAGCTCCAACAGAGATCAATTTAATAAGATATTATAATTTGTGTCAAAGTATTTTCATTTTTTATAGACTCACCATTTAAAAAATAAATAAAAATAAATATTCGGTCTCTATTGGGGTTGATTATTAATAATTCTACAAATAACCCGAGTATTTTATAAAAAAAATAAATAAAAGAAGTAATTTTTTAGATTGTCTATTTCTATCTGGTTATGAAGTTTTATTAAACAAATCTTATATTTCTTTAATCATTTTTTTATAAGCTTTTCGTGCATATATTATTTGCCATATTTGGATATACGGTCGGTGAGATATGAATTTTTTAAGTTAGAAAAAATTAATACTTAAATAAAAGGGCATTTTGGTCTAAATATCTACTCCTTTATCCCCTTAGATAGTTGAGGGGGGTTATTTAGTAAAAATTTAGATAAGGAAAATTTATTGAAAAGGGTTACAAGTTGAGGGCGGTTCTTTGTAAACAATTAGGCGAAGAGGATTTACTAGAAAATTGCTACAAGGGGGTTTACTGTACTTTGCCCCTTTTAATAATATTATAGATAGATATAGATAACTATAAAGAGACATGGGTGGATATTTTTGGGAAGAAGTAAATTAATAAATTACATATATAGAATATAATGAAACAAATTAATAAAAAACATCTAAGAAAACATATATAGTATACAAGGGAAGAGGTAAATTAATATATTACATATATAGAATATAATGAAACAATTTAATAAAAAAAACATCTAAGGAAACATAAATAGTATTCAAGGGAAGGAGAAATTTTAGGAGGGCATTTTTACACATTACTAAAAAAATATATACATATTATTGGAAAATATATATAAAAAATAAGGGAAGTCTTGTGAGTACCTCCAAGACTGTTTCCTCGTAGAAAGGAAAATTGCGAACAATTTGCCCTCTGGTTGTCCTGATTTTGTTTCCTTCCCATCTATCTTAATTTTCAAGGGAAGGTTTTGAGAACTATGAGCTACTTATGAATAATTGCAAGTGTTTCTAAAGTTTCATGTTGCCTCCCTAATGTGTAGATATATTTGGTGGTTGTCTGCTATTTTCAGGTCTAAACAAGGACTCATATACATAGTTTTGGTGGGATGAAGTATGGACCTAATAAATATGCCTTCTTAAATTTGGGATTTGGGAATTATATGACATGCAATTAAATGAAGAATATTGGAATAATCGAAATGAATAGGTAAATCCAATTTGAAAGTAATAATGTGTTATATTGATAATTATATGGTCCGGTTAAAATTTGACCTGAACCATACCCATCAACAAATGGAAAACACAAAAGTGACCATAAATTTCAGAATAAAAGTAGAATATGACAACAAGGTAAAGAGTATTTCACAGTTCAATAAAGCCAAACGCCCTCCAATGTTTTTTCAAATTATACTTGGGAGAGACAGTATCAGGAAGTGGAACTTTTCGCTACCAACATCGAAAATCACTGGAACTTCTTCACTTGGAGCCTTCGCGCTAATCCATTGACACAAACACCTTGTTCTCGCAACATAGGAAGAACACCTTTTTAAAACGCAATAGAAAAGACCAACTTGAATTTGCCCATTGGAAAAGAAGGGGAGGGGGAAGGGCACAAGAGAGGAAAAATTAATAAAATCAATCTTCCTCCCCCGTTCTTGGAAATCAAGAGGCCCTTAAACCAATTTTCTTGTAGTAATTCTATCGTTAGTTCAATGCCCAAAAATATTTGAAACTATACTTCTCATGTTATGCAGCATTTATGGTACACACACGGTGATGAGAGAAGAAAGAAATGACTAAACTTCCAAAAAAAAAGAAGAAAGAAATGACTAGCAAATTTTAGAACATAAATCCAATAAAAAGTCGGCAGAAAAACCATTTATAGAACAGCTAAGCAAAACATTTATGGAGCTGCATTGAAATAAATAAATAAATAAATAAAAACCAATTTCATTGACATATAATTTTAAGTTTTCACGTGATTCTTGATTAGAAACACGAATCAACCATCTAGACTAACATCAAACTCCCCAAATTGCTCTAGGCTGATTAATAAATCAAATGCACGATAATGAAATCAATGCATTAAATAATATATATATATATATATATATATATATATATATATATATATATAAACAGTATCTTTTAAGAAATAGAAGTATTGAAGCAAAATATGTATATGATTAATCCAATTGAGCATGCAACAACCATCAATACAATGACTAAAGGCCTTATAACGCTGGAAACTAAGTGCGCATTCAAATGCATAAGAAAACTAAAGATTAAGAAAATTTCGGTTACTACTTCAAAATTTGACCTGAAATATACTCATCAACAAATGGAAAACACAAAAGTGACTACAAATTTCAGAATAAAAGTTGCATTACAATTCAAAATGCAATTTATCAATTAAATTATTTCCCTATGATTCTCATTTGTTACTACAATCAAGCATCAAGATAAACAAATGACACAATACACATAATTTGTGATACTAACACGGATACTTTCTACACTACGAATGTTAAGTGCCTCACTAATTCTAATAGGCCTAGAAGCCTTATTCTTGTGATCCCAGTGATCCCAAGAAATATATTGATAAGGTTCTGTTTTTGAAAAGTGCAGCGTCTCACCCTTGTATACAGTCACAGGACTAGAATTTGACAAGAAGGTGAAAAGTATTTCATACTTTTGTGGAGACACAATAGTGTTCTGAACCCACTTGTTGTGACAATCCTCTAATACCCATATTTCTATGGTAATGCAATCACAATCTCTATCTTTCAATAAAGCCAAACGCCCTCCAATTTTATTCAATTTATAACTCAAATAGACAGACGGAGAGATACCTTCAGGATAACTCAAATAGATAGACGGAGAGATACCTTCAGGAAGTGGCAACGATCGGAACTTTTCACTACCAACATCGAAAACCACCACCAGAACTTCTTCACTTGGAACCTTCACGCAAATCCAATATATCGCGCCATCAACACAAACACCTTGTCCTTTGAAAATATAAGAACATGGTGGGACGTGGGTGATTTTTCTCCATGAAATATTATTACCATGAGAGGTGAACACTTCTTTATGTTTCTTTGAACCACCCTTTATTGTGAGTACTTCATATTGCATGTCATATAACTTCCTGGTTATTATGTGTAACACTTTGTAGTCATTGTTTGAAGGATCAAATCCGAAAGAATAACTAGAATACTCACAATTAGAATGACTTGCCTGTAGGGATCTGGATTTCCGAGTGCTAGGGTTAATGACATAGACATCCCTGCCATTGTAGAAACATACTAATCCATTAAGGGATTCTGAAACATAGCTACTGCAGCCGCCGGGCAGCTGCAGAAGGCGGACCGCTGGCCCTCCTTCAAGACTTGCAGAATAGAAGTAATGCTTCGAGTCAGGACCCGAGAAAGACACAAGGATTAGGGGACCACAGGGCCGAGTTTGAGATTGGCTCAAGTGCAGGTCCACCAAGGAAGGGCTGTCGATGATGGTGAGGCATCGTTTACAGGCGGATCGGAATCTGAAAAGGGACTTCACGGGGAGTCTTGAAAGTATCTCTAAGATCAAATCTTCTGGAAGTGGAGGAATAGCGTTGCTTTTTGCTCGTCGTGTTATAGAACGATTTGGGTTTTTTGAGGAGGGTTTCTTGGCATCATCACTTCTTTTGTTGTTGTTAGTCTTTCTTGGTTGCTTCTTTCCCATTGCTCAGTTTCAAAACATGGTTTTCTCAGTGTTGCAAGTTACAATACTTATATATAGAGTTGCGGCTTTGTATTTTTTTTTCCTCAAATTAGGGTTTGGATTAGCCGTCCTTGTAAACACACTTAGTTATTTATTTATTTATTTTTAAGGTTAAAATCATTAAAACCTGCTGTTATTTACAAAAATGACATAATTCCCTCAACTATTAAAAAATCCCCAGGAGTAACAAAAACTATAATCATAAAAAGACTATGTTGTTTACAAAAATGACATATAATTTCCTCAATTATTAAAAAATTTCATGAAGTAATAAAAACTATCACGTTGCCCCCTTTCCGTGATGCCCCTCATAGTATATTAATATTTTATTAAATTGAAATTGTTGATTTTAAATGACAATTATGCCCTCCATGTCTCTACACTCACACATGTCAGCACTTTTAACTTTTTTTCTTTTCTTTTCTTTTTTCTCAACTGGGCTTTCTCTCTCTAATAGTAATGAAGCCTCTGGGCTACAAATTTAACAACTGAAAATTTTAAGGTGAATTCCAACAGAAAACACTAAGTGGGCTTATAGATCCGTGTTCATAGTATAATGGAGTCAAGGTATCATAATTTCGAAAAAAAAAATGTAGTTGACCTAATTGGTGGAGGAATGACCATGCCTTTGGAGGGTTTCTTAGCATCATTACTTGTTTTGTTGTGTTGGTTTTTTTGTCTGATACCACTTTGTTGGAAATAAATGGTCGGACTAGAGACACACACAACACAATAATATGGAAGAAGAGTTGAGGAAATGAACACTTAAAAATATCTTATATTATAGTCATACTATTTCATCTTACTCTTATTATAAAATTACTAGATTACATGAGTTTATATGAACTCTAAGAACATAAATATATATAATTTAAAATTAGATTTTACCTTTCAAAAAAAAAAAATATATATATATATATAAATATATCATTTCCATATGAATGACAATAACTCCAATTACTCCAACTAACATAACCTTTAGAAGACACAACTTCCACTAACATGATCATTAATAGCATAAGTCCCACTAACGTAGCATTTAGGAGGCTTAATTCACATACCTCTTGGTCGGTTACATAACTTTCTCCATCAAGACCAGTTACTACCTTACTAACATGAAATACATACATGCATATGTATACCAAATACTTGAAAATACTAATTAATAATAAAATTCTAAAATCAAGTTTATTTCCAACATGTTGTTAGTCTTCCTTGTTTGCTTCTTTCCCTTTGCTTAATTTCAAAACATGGTTTTCTCAGTGTTGCAAGTTATATATATATATATATAGAGAGAGAGAGAGTGTGTCATGTTTTATCCTAATGTTTCTCAAATTAGAGTTGGTTTTTCTTGTGCATAGTTGGAGCATGTCTACGAACTTGAAAGCCACTAGGATTAGCATTCTTGAATAATTCAATTCAGCTCTTAATTCTAAAGAGATTAAGCGCTTATCCAATTAATTGCTTATTCAATTAAATGCATTTGAAAATGAAATTTGAATATCACTAACAATGGTCTGAAAACGATACATGTTAATTTGAATATCACTGAAAACAGTAAATTTTTGAGTGTCGGGGTCATCACTTAATACTGAATGCTAAACGTCGAAAAAAAAAATTTAAAAAAAATTATTTTTAATTAACACTTAAAAATTTCAATACTTAAAATTCAGCTCTTAAAATTTTTAATACTTATTTTTCTATTTTATCAACTAGCACCTAATATCATATTGTAAACACAGTTTCCTAAATCAACAAAATCACCATTTTAAAAAGAAAACAAAAAGTTATATGTACTTATTTCCAAACTCAAATATTTTTGGCTAATGTTTTGAAAAAAAAATTGGACCTACAATGCAACTTTAGAATTTAAATAATGTTATTTATATTGAAATATTAATAATATAAAAACAAAACCAAAAAAGTTATATTTATTTATTTCCATATTAATGTTATTTACAATTATGTAAGTCGCAATCTGGTTCCATTTTGCAATTGGTATGATCTTGATTTAGCTTGAAATAGTACCGAATTGGACCATGTGCACCCTTGATACTGAAGTTCTGAACTTCAAAATACATATCGAAGAGTTGTAAAGAGGACAGTCTCTGAAGAGAATTTCCTTAATAAAAAATTATGTCACCAAGGTGTACATCCTAGATTATCAACATTGACATTGCAATATAACTAGGATTTAAAAAGTTTTTTTTTTTTTTTTTTGAAAAAATGAGTGCCCTTTGTGTTCATGTGGATATTTACCCAAACAACAATCAACAAAAGGAGACCAATACAGCAACTACTACCATCATTTGATAATCAACACTAGAGGAACAATCCTAGCACCAAGATGAGTGACATCCCAACAATAGCATCTTTTGGGACTATCATATTCTCACATAATATGTCATCCCTCCAATACTATTAGGATAACAACTAGGCTTGTCCACAAGCTATGGAACAACCCTATATGAAGAGAAGTTGCAGCTATAATGTAGAAGTAATTTACCTCAAGTCTGAGCTACTTCTTAACTTGATGGATGCAAGTCTAGCTCTGACACAGTTCCTAACTTGAGAAATAAAGTGGTGTGAAGGTGATGACTAGTTCCTGAATGCCTTTGCATTCCTTTCCATCCAGATAAAATAGATAACTACTAACCATAGAAGTTTATAAACCAAGAAATCTGATGAACTCCAATGTGTTGAACACCAATGAACCAATAGTTGTGATTATTGTTGATGTACAAGCGATAGTTGCGAGGCTTGTCAACGTTTGTGAACATTTGGGAAGAGGTGTGACAGTCGTAGGTTAAACCAATACACCCCGTTGAAACATTACGTCTAATGGCTGAAAAGCCTGATGAATGAAATTCAATTATTGGACTAAATAAGTGCAATGGTTGGGGAACTGACACACCCATTCCCAATAGACACCATGTGCTCTATAAATACCCATCATCTCCATTTGGAAATTCACGCTTAAAAAAAAGGTGCAATTCATTATTCTTTCCCTCTCTCAAGATGAACCCAACCCAAGTAGGTGTAGGTTCAAGCCATTGTCAAGTGGTCTAAGCCACTTAGGGCCAAAACCAATTTCATTAAGCCATATGGTTCAAATTGCACCCAATTCATTATTTATATATTATAGATGCATTTTGAGTTAGAGAGAGTATTACACGGAGTAGGTTCGCCGTATCTACGAGTTTAAAGTACCTCTAATAGTGGATGTAGAGCGTTGTATCCTAGGAGACAAATGTCATAGAGCCTGTGACCATGCGGGGCGTAAATTGTCTTGAGGACATAGTATTCAATGCTAGCCTCAGTCTAGGTTCTTTATTTATTATTTATTTACTGCTCTATTTTGTATATTTAATTAAATATATAGCGGCATATTTAATTCATCATTTGTTAGTATATTGATAATTAACTCATAACATATCAGTATAAGGGTTGTTATATCTTAAATGTCATATGAAATATATATTTTTCTAACAGTATATTATATATTTTTATATAGTTTGACAAAATAGTCCACCACCAATTTTAAAGGTAAAAAAGAAACATTTTGCATACAACTCTTACTAGTATTAATGTACATTTATATATACTAGGAAAAAATACGAAGTGAAAATTCATGATAAATAAATAAAGTATAAAAATATATAAAAATGTAGATATATTTTAGTATAAATGCAAAGTTTCATAAACATCTAAAATGTATTGGTAAATCTATTTAAAAATAACTTTTCCTATTAAAAATGTTTTTCCCTCAAACAAAGCTTCCAAATATGCCTCAAGTTAGCAATAATGTTGGACACTTCCAAATCAGGGAAGCCCAGACCTCCACGGATTCTTCGTCTGCAAACAACAAACCAAGCAACCTTGGCTCCCTTCTTATTCATGTCAATTCCAGACCAGAAGAAACTTCTTATGATCAGATTAATTTAGTTAATAACCATCTTTGGCAATACAAATGTTTGAGACCAATAAGATTTAATAGAACACAACACAGACTTAATAAGGACAGCCATCCCTGCATATGAAAGAAACCTCGAGGTCTGAGCACAAGCAGTGGAGCAACCTTGTATGAAAAAGATCGAAGATGAAGCTGAGATGAACTAGAAACTTTCCTCAGGTCTGAACTATTTCTCATCTTAATAGTAGCTAGTCTTGCTACTTGATTTGAGATATTATGTGTTGGGGAGAAGAAGACTGATTTCTGAAAGCCCTAGCATTCCTTTCCATCCAAATAAAATAAATTGCACCAGACCAAAGCAACTTATGAACCAAATATCTTGAGGAACTCCAATGTAATGAGCACCACTGAATCATATTTGACCAACAGTTAGGTAAGATGTAAAACCTAACAACTTCCTAAATGAAGTTTCATATGTGAGCACTAAACTTACAGTTGAAGAACAAGTGGTTAATAGACTCATATTTAGTAAGACAGAGATAACAGCAATTTGTATCATGCTTATACAAAATTGGTTTAGCATCAAGAATGTATAATCTTTCTCTTATTGTTAACCATGAAATAATGTTATGCTTTAGTATGTGGTGCTTAAACCATACAATGTGATGCCATGAATAAATTGGGGAAGGAGGTATGAATTAAGTAACTTATAGTGTGAGATAAGGAGAACACCTTAGCAGAGCTTGGTAACCACTCAATGGAATCAGCATCAGGAGATGGTAAGGCTAAACTTTGTAATTTAGAGATAAACTTAGGGGTTGAAAAAATGGATGTAGTGGTAATGAATTGGGATTCACCCATTGATCATTGGAAATTAGGCTATCAACTAAAACTTGGTTTTTTAGTTGAAGAATTTCTGCATTAATAAGTCCCAATTAACATAAAATTGGACCATTTGGTAACCAGTAATCCAACCACAAACTTGTTGATGTGATAGCCCCCACCCTATACCTCACAAGTCCTTAAGTTAGCAATAATGTAGGATATG